TGTGCGTGTGTGGCATCTACGCATCTCTGTGACTCCCCACTGGGATCATAATGAAGACAAAGCACACTGGTCACTGTTGATTCAGCACCACCACTCCTCTCGCTCTCTCTATCCCTCTCTTTCTGTCTCTTTCTTTCTCTCTCTCTCTCTCTCTCTCCTTCATGCCTGTGCGACAAGCATCGTCATCATCTGGCTTACCAGCTACATCCTGCAGTTATCCCGTGTCCACCTTAGACACATATTCACATACATATTACTTTTAAACATTTTATTGTGGAGGTGGTGCAAGCTGGAGTGCTGTAAAGATTGCCTCACGCTTGACTCTCCAAACACTTTGAGTCGGCTGTATCCATGCAGTGTTTTCTGTTCTCTAATTAGATAAAACGGGCATTTTATGAATATGCACGAATAAAAGAAAGCAAGAAGGAAAGTTTACGTGCTCTTCTCGTCCTCTGTCCATCTCTTTCTCCCTCACTTTCTCCATACCGCTCTCTCTCTCTCTCTTCCTCTGCATATGGCAGGGGACTCTTTCCCTCCGTAGCTCTGACCTTGTCAGCAGTGAATAGATGGCTCTCCCACACAGTTCATCCTTCCTCACTTCTCGGACCCCAGCCCACACACACAAACACACAGACACATACGCATACTCACACACAGCTTACCAAAAGGCCCCAAGTCCCTCTGACAGAGACAGAGATTCTGTGTTCCCGGGGTCAACATCATTGCTCTTCCCGTAGCTAGGTTGGTACTTTTGGGCTTGTGTGTGGTGGGTAGGTGTGCATGTGTGTGTGAGTGGTGAGATTTACGTCAGCCTTCTGTCTCTTCCCGTTTGAGTTACCTGTGTACACTCTAATGCAGTATTTTTCTTATAATTACAGTGTTAGGGAGGTCTTCAGATATTTCTCACTAGTTTATTAGACACCATTTTGGCACACTTAGAGGTTTCTCTGTCGATTCTGTATCACTTAACTTAAAATCCTTTATTTATCTTTCAAAAGTAATATTTATGTTAATGGACATGTCATCAGAATTACAAGTTATTGTGCCATTCTGTGCAAACAAGACAGTCAAAATGCTCAGTTATAATGCCAATATAACAATGTATTAATTGTACTTTCTGATGTAAGCTATTGGTACTATTTCAATAACAATGAATAAAAATGCACAAGGCTGTTTTTTTTCTACATGTCAGTTTCAGCATTACAAAGCTCTACATTACTGTGTGTTGGAAAATGACAGCAAGAGATTGAACAGGATTTACATTTAGGATTTTACTATTTGTAAGATACTGTAGTGTGTTGATCGGCTATATCACTGCAAAACAGAAAAATAAAAGGAGCAAAGGGAAAAAATGCAAAATTAGAAATGTGCACATAATAAAAAAAAAACCCTTTGATAGAACTGTACATGCAGTTCTCTGTGGTGAATTATGGTGCAGTCTTTCTACACATCCCGACATTCCTCTTTGTCAGGCCACAGAATCTCACCCACGTCACAACACATATCTTCCGTTGCAGTGCACACAGAAAATATCTTAAAGAATGTCTTATCCAGGCTTTGCAGGTGTCCATTGTGATGTTCTCACATGCTGCATCCGTTGCAGCCTGCAGGGTCATCTAAGCGCATGACTGGCGATCGTAAACCTTCCGTCTTCGTGCTGAGCAGACCTCCTTATTTAGGAATGGGAAATAGTGTGAAAGGAATATCAACAGCATCCTGTGGTGGGTCACCAACCATTTATTAATATTGTTTGAGTGATGGACACTCACATTATCCCAAATTACCACGTACTTTGATAAATCAGATCCCTCTCATCATCAGGAATGACATCCCTGATATGATGTATGTATGGTCAAGGATGAAAACGTGTGCTTGTCTTCCTTTTTGTTGTTGTAGTTCTAAGTGCCAGGACCTTTTTTTTTTTTTTTATTCAAATCTCGTAAAGAAGATTGTGAATACACAAGGAACAAGTGCAGTCTTGGTACAACAGTAATGGAAAACATAAAATATTGCACTGCAGTCATCACATCTGGGTGTATGTGTTCATAGTAATGCAGCAAGTGCAATTTTTGTAAGAATACCATAGCTGGCCATTTATGTGACACCATAAACTGAGAACTTCCCAAAATATTTTAGTCCTCACTGGTGTGTGATGTTCAAGGTCCTTCTCTTTTAGAACCTGGAAAGGAATAACTTTTTACATTCCACAATCAGTTGTGGAAAGCATCCTTGAAAAGAAACACCCCTTAATCTAAACCTGTTGTCTCTTTGGCTTAATCACTTTAAAAGTATATTTTGATACAAGAAAAAAAGGCAAAACCCAACAAACAGAAGTGTAGCTTTGAGAGGTTTCCCACCTCTCATTAATAGAGGTTGTCCACTCATATTAATCAGCAAAAATCATGTGAAAGCTCTACAGTTGACGTTTTAAGAGCGGGACATGTAAGGATATTTCTGTCATCCAGTTGTGGCTACAAGCCACGGTTACAGAAACTCGGATCATTGGAGTTAAACTAATTTCTGTAGTCTCATTCTACAACACTTGACATTTAGATCAAAAGTACTCGTGGTCTAATAATGAAACATTCACTAATTAACTAGTTTGTTAATATTTTAAAAGGAGTGAGGTTTGGGTTGATGTAGTTGGAGCAATTTCCCACTTATGCCCTTTCTCTCTCCTTTCTCTGTTGTTCCAGTCTTTTAGAGTGGCCTAAATAGCAAGAAGTGTTATTAGCATATAGAGTAGATACAGAGTCCTCCAACTCAAAGCTTTGGTCTGGTAATTAACACACAGGCAAAAGGATCACTGTGATTTGAATAATTATTACTGAGGCAAATCTCTAACCCACTTTATAACCAGAGAGGCAAAGTTTTTTATGTTTATACATGTGTACATTTGTGCTTTTGAACAACGTAATTCTAAATAACTCTTGTGATGCCACATTCTATCTATCTATCTATCTATCTATCTATCTATCTATCTATCTATCTATCTATCTATCTATCTATCTATCTATCTATCTATCTATCTATCT